GCCGCTGGGAGTAACGATCCTCCATGGATGGCAGCTCAGTCCTGGCGATGTGCTGTGCGGTTTTCACCACCCTCTGTAGAGTCTTACGGTTGAGGGCGGTGCAACTGCCGTACCAGGCCGTGATGCAGCCAGTCAGGATACTCTCTATGGTGCACCTGTATAAGTTGCAGAGTATCCTGGAGTCCATGTTGAACCTCGTCAGCCTGCGGAGGAAGAAGAGCCGCTGTTTTGGTGATGGTGTTAGTGTGATGAGTCCATGTTAGGTCCTCAGTGATGTGGACACCAAGGAACCTGAAGCTGCTGACTCTCTCTAACGTAGTCCCATTAGGTGCTTTCACACCGGAGTACTTTTCACAGGAATAGTTCCGATAGTTCCTGTGATTTTGCGTTCACACCAGAAAGATCTGGAACTAGAACTTTTTTTTGCAAACCTTTTCACCCCTTTTTAGTCCCTGCTAGAGAGCAGGGACTTTCCTGGGGAGAAAAAGGTTCCAATTTCTGATTGGCTGGGCGAATTGCAAACCACGCCCCGTAAAACTCTGAACATCTTTTGTGAAGCCGCCATTTTATTTGCTCGCATTAGCATTATTAGCATTAGCCCAGCGCACCAACGGAGAGAGACTAACTTATGGCAACACACAAGAAAACATGGGAGCGGTGGAGTGATGAGGAGGTGTCGGCGCTTCTGGCGATTTACTCGAAAGCCAGTCCCCAACTCCGGGGACTTCCGGCCGGGGACTTCGGGTGGCAGTATACGCCGTGAAGTTGTTTGTAGCCTGCCAGTAAACCCAAAGCAGAAGCAGAAGAAGAAGAAGTGACGTCCGCGGCTCCCTCAGGGACTGATTCCGGTGTGAACGCGATTTACTAGATAGTGTGACTACCCGATCAGCATCCCTACCCGATCCGCATTGCGCATGTGCGAGATGGTCCGCCATATTGGACAACTCCATACGGAAACCCGAATAGGACAGATTTTGTATCAAAGGGTGATGTATCATTTAGGAGATAAACTCAGCTTTATGTTTCTGCGCTTCATTTCGCAATGCATCATCTGTTTGTTGTTGAACTTGATTGTGTGAAGTGACTGTAATATTTGGTTTGTAAAAACATAAAAAGTGAATAAAAAAAACCTGGAAAGTAAATAATTCGCTCCATTGTTTGTTGTCTTTTGATGATTTGTGAAGAAATAAGCCTTAAAATCGTATTTGGTGTTTTATAATGATACATTTTGCATAAGAAAAAAAAACCCCGATACAGATACATCAAGTTTGCATCCGTTATGACAATCTGAATTCTGGCAGTGTGGGATCTTGTATAAGTAGAAGGTCTCTTTAGTGGGAACAAACGGTTGATGTGATTGGCTGACATTTTCTTTCTAGATCTGGGTATAAAAAGGGACCAATATCTTTAGTGGAGAAGCTTGGTACTGAATTATTTTGGTCAATACCTTACTGACACCAAAAACAGATACCCAACCGATGGTTACGTATTGTAACCCTAGTTCTACACAGACGGAGCACTCTACTGGACTCTTTGGGTAATACCCAGGGTTGGGAAAGTTACTTTAATTGATTTACTTTAACCTGTCTAAAAAAAGTAATCAGTAATGTAATCGAATTACCCCAATATTAAAGTAATGTATCCTGATTACCTTCATCTTTGTGCTCAAAATGTTTTTAAACTTCACCCCAAATCGTCCATCTGCAGACTTGTATGATCTAATGATAGTAGCTGTAGTCTCAATATCAGACACTTAGCCGTAGTCATCCCTTAAACAAACTTTTCACATATTTAAGTCTAATGTAATTTAATCTAAGTATACAGACAAAAGCCTGGCTGGTCCACGCAGCAGGCATGCATGTAGGTGTTTGCTGTGTATTGAGCAGCTGGTGTCTTTAGGTTATAATCCTGACATGTAATCCATCTTTCAGTGTGCTTAACCCCAGCTGTAACCCAAAGGAAGATAAATCTAAAGACGACTGTAACCACTCAGACATTATCATTATCCCGACATATTCTCCATCTGCTACTCAAAGCGGCTTCCATTTAGCTGAGGAAGCACCGCGTTAGTTTGGATTTCATCACTTTTCATTTATACTTCATTGTAAAAACTGACATGATTATTACCCCAATTTGTCCATTCAAATGTGAAACCACATAGCATCAGTATTCCTGTGTGTGTGTGTGTGTGTGTGTGTGTGTGTGTGTGTGTGTGTGTGTGTGTGTGTGTGTGTGTGTGTGTGTGTGTGTGTGTGTGTGTGTGTGTGTGTGTGTGTGTGTGTGTGTGTGTGTGTGTGTGTGTGTGTGTGTGTGTGTGTGTGTGTGTGTGTGTGTGTGTGTGTGTGTGTGTGTGTGTGTGTGTGTGTGTGTGTGTGTGTGTGTGTGTGTGTGTGTGTGTGTGTGTGTGTGTGTGTGTGTGTGGTAACTGTACTCTGGCATTATGGCTGTAATAACATAATCCCAGAGATTTGGCTTGACAGCAAGACAGTATGCTGCCGATTTCCGTTAGGGGATTATCGTCACCACCACTTTACAGACGGTTAGACATGTGCTAGTATTTCTGCCTCTAGTCTGAACCTGCGGCCCATTTAGTGGCAGGTTAAAGAAGAGTGAAGTGAAGAGTGTTTAGGAAGTTAGGACAAGGAGGCATTATAGTTAATGTCCATTTAACCTTTTATTATATACATATTAATTAAAGGTCACCGATTATGCAAAATCCACTTTTTCAAGTCTTTTATACATAAATATGTGTCCCTTCTGTGTTAAGAGATTCGGAAAGTTTCAGGAAATAAGATTCTTTCTCTTTTTGTCCAGATCCTTTTATATAAAAACCTGTCTGAAAATGAGCTGATCAGATTTTGGCCACTTTGTGATGTCACAATGCTTTTTTGTGGTTGTGCAACCATTAACCAATAACCGCCCACCTTATCACCTGAATCTCCTCCAACGGCACCATTGTGTTATTTTAAACCAATCATCTTGCAGAGGGGTTGTGTCCACCAATTTGCATTTAAAGTTAGAGACACAGAATCAGCACTTTTGGAACTGGGCTGTAACATAGGGGTATGAGGCATGCTACGATGCATGATATGTGTGGTATTTCCAGCCAACCACTTCAGAGACATGATTTGTATATCTGAGACCAATAATATAGTGTTGAAAAAAGAGTATAATAGGAGACCTTTAAGTTAATTTATATTTTATTTCATTAATCCTAAACTTTTCGGCGAGAAAATGAATAACAGTGAATTCACGCAGAGGCCCAGCAGGCCCGTTAGTAATCTAACCATGGATTTATGTTTTTAATGAATGAATTTGCTTTTAATACTGAATATTACATCGAAAGAATGACAGTAAATTATATATTGTACTTATATATACACCAATAAACACTATCAACATGACAAAATCTTAAATATTTATAATAGAGTGGCCTAGTTCAGTGTTATTTTATTGAAATAAGATTATTACAAGAACATGAGTGCCATCTCTTTTCCCCTCTACATGTGTTACTGTTTTGCACGTGAAATATTCTAATAACTACCAAAGAATATATATAAAAATGTTATCAACAAAAGAGTTACAGCACCACCTTTATCATTTGCAACGTTTAAGTAACATTAATGTATCAATAATTATGATCCAATATAGCAATATATATCATTTTGAAATGTAAATGCGGAACTTTTAGTTGTGCATTTACACAGTATTTCATCATTAGCTGCAAACGCCAAACTAAACTTGAAATAAATCCCCATTAGAAAAGTACTGTTGTACAACAAGGTTAACTGACATGAGTTAAGATGAATAAAATTATGCATTATCCTAAAACTTGACCACTAATTACTCCCCGTCCTGACGTGATCACATTGTGATTAAACGGTAACATGACATGTCTCTCAGCTTCCTTTGTTCATTTTAAAGTTGTGTCAGCAGCTCACATTCAGATCTGCTTACACTGAGCCGGCTGCTTCAGTGTTTGGAGCAGTGTATTGAAGCCCAAGATACAGAAATGATGCAGTGCGTTAGAGCTCCGGACAGACTTGGCTACACATTGTTCTGGCTCTTCAACACCTTCCAGAAGAGATAGAACAAACCCACGCAGGACATTAAGCCTCTTTCTGACAAATAATCTAATCTAGAAACTGAGAGGGTGAGGAGAAAACGGTCTTTTTGTAAATGGTAAATGGAATCAGATAAAGCATTTTCTGAGGCGTTTTCTGGAAACAAACAGTTTTTTTCCCACTATGTCAATAGAAAATAACACTTATTACAACTACTGATTTTGCTTTCTTCATGTTGGTGCAGAGAACGTTTTCCCAATTTATATTGAACCTTACTTTTAGATGAACTTGAGACTTTAATTTAAAGTGCAAAGATTCCCAATTCCTCTAATGTAAAACAGAGAAGGAAAATCCTGCTAGGAAATGTCCATTATCATATTTATGTTTATGTTAGTCATTCATTGGATCACAGGGGGCTTGACAGAATTTACTCCAGGTGTAACTAATGTCTTATTTAAGTGTTGATTATATTTCACATAATTAATCCAAATCTGCAAAGTAACTAAAGGTACGAAATTAATGTAGTGGAGTTAAAGTACACGATTTACCTCTGAATGTAGTGAAGTAAAAGTACAAAGTAGCACAACATTGAAATGCCAGAGTAAAGTACAAGTACCTCAAAATTGTACTTAAGTAAAGTACTCGAGTAAATCTACTTAGTCCCTTCACACCACTGGGCATCGGCTGGCATATGCACGCCCCCGCCTTTGTGAATGAAACACCTCAGTCAGATAATACATACAGATCGACTTTAATACAAATAAATCTTGTATTATTCCACCCATTACATAAAAGGATGAGATTATCGATACACAGATTAATGATCATCCAATGGGGTTCCAGCCTTTAGCCCCGCCCCTCCCTGAACCCTCCACCCCGTCTGTCTGCATGCAACACTCCAATCCTCCAGATAAAAATAGAAAATCCCACAATGAATTGCAGTTTAGTTGTTAGATTTTAGTCTTTATTGTACTATTTTTTTTCTTGACAATTTGCTAGCGGACATGTGAAAACTTGGACCAACAAAACATCATCATTATTATTATTATTATCATTTTTTTCATAATTACAGCATATCGCCAGAATGCGGTAACAGTGAGAAGATGTGTTTTTAAAAAAGAAAACAAGAAAAAAAACAAGAGAATCCAAACTGAACAGGAAAAAAGAAAACATTTTGACTTTAATATTTGATGGCGTTTCTTTTCTTTTTTTTAATTCATGTACACAATAAAACAGTCTAAAAACATTAAACACACAGAGCTGAAGACATTGCAGTGATAGCTGGGATGTGGCAGTCCTCAGGGCAGTTTATATACTGTAGCAACATGGTCCTGCTGTACTGTCAAACTACTGGGGGCGGAGGGGGGTTGAGAGGGACTATAAACCAAAATGGCCGTCAATATAAAACTACCAGTCTTTTTTTTCTTTTTTTTTTTTAAATCCACCAATCAGGAGTCGTTAGAGACAGAGAGCAGAGTTAAGTAGCTCGACAAGGAGACACATAGGGTGGCGGGGGAAGTAGGGGGTGGAATGTCTAGATTTTTCATTTTTTACATTTCTGTGTTTTTCTTTTCTCTCGTAGACAATATAAAATCTCACAGACAAGCAAAGAAAAAATAAAACACTGGATGTACATATTTGTATGTATGTATGCATGTATCGGACGGAGGGGTTATAAGGATGGAGGGATGGGTGGATGGGGGGGACTTGAATTATTGCTTTCTGAGTAGTTATTATTTTTCACTGCTCATCTACATGGATTTCATCTTTCTCATTCTCTCAATCTCTCTCTCTCTTTCTCACAATGGTGTTTTCTGTTTTGTCAACACGTGATTACTCTTTTTATTTGGGAGGAAGGCGGAGAGGGATGAAGGGAGAGAGGAGGGGGGAGAGGACGGGGGAGGGGTAAAGTGGGGGGCGGGGCTCAGAGCTCCTCGCTCAGCGAATCCCGGGCAGTTCTAATCCTCTTTGTGTGGCCTCACACGTTTCCCGCCTTTTTGTCTGGTAAATGATAACAGAAGAGATTGAAAAAATGTATTAAAAAATAGGTCTTGGAAAAGGGATAATAATAATAGTAATAATAATAAACAGTCATTAAAAAAGGGTTATATGTGTGTTTAGTGGTTTAGTACAGATGTCTCTCTAGTGTTGGGTTAGTTTAAGTTATTTCGTGTTAAGGACATACACAAAGCAAACAACAACAACAGAACAGGTTTTTAAGAAAAATATTGTACATTATAAAGGATGATCAGCATAATCACATGGTGAGGAAGATGTAGAGTCTGTCTGCCTGTCTCTCACTGCCCTTGTTTGTCCTCCTGTCTGTATGTGTGCCTTATTTTGTAATGCCCTTGTTTTTGTCTTGTATTCTTGGACTGTAGGCCTACTTTGTGCTCAGAGCTCACAGACACTTGACTTTAAGAAGGGTTTTATATATCTAAAATGAAATACCCTGACAATCCACTGAATAGTCATCTGTCTTTCTGTTTACTTTCCCAGAGAGAGAGAGACAACGGAGAGAGAGAAGGCTAGCTAATCTGACTCATTGAAGAGGCTCCATGACACTTTGATTTTGCCCTCTAATCCTTTGATGGACTAAACTCTATTGATGTCTGCTAAACCAGCTTTTCTCTTCCAAAGCAAACAGTAAGCTAACTATCTAAGCTACAGCGAGTTAGAGCGAGCAATCAGCTGAAGAACGTCTGACATGTGTTAGTGCTAGTGAAATGGAGATTTCTGACTCTAATAATATAAAAAGAGAAATCTGCCTTTAAAGATTCTAAATATTTTGCAAAATCTTTGGATATAATTGTTAAACTTCCCCAATTATTCACAAATAATTATTTTACAAGTTTTCTGGAATGTTAAAGTATGTAAATGTATTATCTAATCCTAACTTTTGGCGAATTTAGAAGAAATCGATTGAGGTAAATGGACAGTAGGTATATGTGTATTTAGGTTTTGTTTTTTTCACAAGTCTAAAGGAAGACATGTTATGGAAGCCCCGACACTCAAAATGGAATAGTTCATGAAGAACAATGTTTTCTCTTCTCCCAGTGTCTCGTCTTACTGACAGATATACTGAGCATACTGTGTACTACACTTTCTTTTGAAACATAAGCACATGCTCAGTTTGAACATTTGTAGTCTAATCGTCAATATTTTCAAGATAAAATATTCCTGAGATAATAATAATTTTGGTATCACTTGGCTCATTTAGCATTCCCAAAAAAGAGGACAGAAGAAAGAAAGACAGGACACCTGCCCAGCACAATTAAACGTGAAGTCTCTTATTGTAAAACAACAACAGTTTGCTGTGGGCTGACTTTTAGTGTTGGCTGGAAGACTTTGTTTGCATAGAGAAGAGAATCAAAACTGTATTGAAGTTACTTCAGTAAAAAAAGCTGTTACCGGTCTGTGGAGGGCTTGGCACAGTTTCAGGTCTCAGTAAGCCAATAGGCGTTAAACAGAGTTTAATTTAAGAAAAAGAGTTACAAAGAGCTTCAAAGAGGCTCCTGGTTAATCGCACGGCAACAGCAGGAGCCGCGGCTCTCTCTGCAACCATCTGTTGGCCTGCATGGGATCAAAGCGAGGCGGTTGCCGGACATCGAGCCTCACGCTGCACTTGAATGGAGAGGAAGGCTGGATTTGCTAAATAATAGAGGAGGGAACAAATCGCCTTCTGGTTCACAGACTCTTCCCCTCCTCATGCTCAGCGTCCAGCAGCTTTGAGCTTCGGCTCCCAGGTGGGAACTTGTAAAACGGTACAAACAAGAAGTGAAGCTTTGCTGGAAATAGCTCAGAGAGAAAAAAAATGCCTCTAGATAAATAAAAAAAAGCTGGAAAGTACCGGAGATGTAATATGTCATCTCCATCATTGTATTTCCTCTCATTCCTGCTAAATCAATTTATGTCTGCAGGTTATGATAAATTGCAGCAAATAAAAGCTAAGAATCATATAATGAAGTCTAAATCTGCTCTTAGAGGATTGTTTTATGGGAGCTGTATAGCTCTACCATGTAGCAGTTAATGTGATATTTATATTCTTATTTAAGTTCATAAACAGTCAGCTTCCAACCATGTAGCTACCTTGGGAATCTACGCTCACCACCTGAGTCCTGTTATAGTTTAGTTGTTTGGCTGTTCATGGACTTGATGTTATAATGAAATTAGCAGGACTAAACGAAAGACTAGATTCTCTCTCTCCATCTCTCTTTCTTCTATTGAAAACTCGCTGGATATTCACAGGTTACCAAACACGTATTTAAAAGCCATACTACGGGTATTTTAAAGGGATTTAAGGAAGAGCTAGTTTTTCAGCATGCATTCACAGAGGAAACGTTGACATGCCTATGCGCCTATGTACATGAGGTTTGGCAGTGGCTTTATTTGTGTATGTGCAACCTAGCTGGAGTCAGGATGTGTTTAGCCTAGCTTAGCACAATGACTGGAAGAAGAGAGATTCAGCGAGCCAGGCTCTGTCTTAAGCTTTAAAGAAAATACACTTACCAACATCTCTAGGGCTGATCAAATGCGTTTCAGCAGCCATAAGGGCTATTCTAATGTTCATACTGGGTAGTTGATTTGGCAAACAAATTATTTTCCAGTGATTTGCAGACATTTCTTTGCCATGGTAAATCAATGTTAATAAGTATTTTTGGGCCCAATGACTCACAAGGAAGTTCTAGAACCACTGTTTGGCCACTATAAGAATTAGCTTCAAGGCCCAGTGCACTTCCTGGGGACCTTGGAAAACGCCCATCCCCTTTGTTTATGCCATTGTCCAATCGGAGGAATTAAGAGGAGGGGCTTCTGTGGTGTATGTTGCTTGATATGCTATATGACTTCATCACCAGTAGGTACTAAACAGCCAACAACTTTTAATCAGTGTAGAGTTCATGGTTTGCAATCATTCTAAAACTGCTCTGTCTGATCCGGGTGTCTTCAACAATTAAAAAAGTCACATACTTTAAGTCGGCAAATCACTTTTGTCTGATCTAGGCTTAAGCACTAGCAATCTGTCAGGTGGTCTGTTTATTTGTTTTGTGTATAGGTACAGTGTTACTTGCAGTACATTGCATTGTAATATTGGCATTCTGTTTTTAAAATACATCTAAAATCTTTGTCTATGTCTATGCTGTTATTATTTTACATGCTGTAACTAAGACAATATAGGAGTAAAAGCTAGCTTACTTCAACATACATGAGTGCCCCCCAAGTATTATTTATCATGTAAGTGGTTCTTGGCTTAAAACAATTGAGAACTTCTGCCACATGCTCACTTAGAGTTGGGAGTCTGGACAGAGCCAAGACAGCTGATTCCACCTGTTCCTGTTCTCATGCTAAGCTAGGCTAACCACTAGTTCAGTCCAGCTCTTTGCTTAACACATTGAACTGAGATTGATATCAAACAGCAATTAGGCAAACTACTTTTTTGAAACATTAATTTGCATACAGGAATGTGTGATATCCTATGCTAATATGTGTAACTTTACATTTGGCACATTTAAGTGTATTTCATGCAAGTATTAACTCACATCAACAGTGCGCTTTCACATACATGTGTTTACCTATACATAAATGTGCGTTTGTGTCACCCTGTGCTTTCTTAGTATCGAATGTCAGCCTCATAACACCCATTCAGACCGTTGTCAACGCACAGCTCCCTTTCTAATTGGTCAGTTGCTGCTGACATCACGTTCTGAACAATGGCCACCGCTGCATCTCGAAGATCCCTCTTCGTCATTTCCTCCTCTTCCTCCTCATCCTGCCCTTCCCTCTCTCCCTGCTCACATGACTTTGCCCCATCTCCGTTGTGTGGAGACTCTGCCTCCCCTCCCTCCCTCAGCTCCTCCTCCTCCTCCTCCTCCTCCTCCTCCTCCTCCTCCTCCTCCTCCTCCTCCTCCTCCTCCTCCTCCTCCTCCTCCTCTATGCTAACGGCTAGTGCTAGCTCAGGCTCTTGACAGCTGCTGGCTTTTGTTTGTTTACTGCTATCGTTTGTTAGTACTGGTACTTTTTGTTGTTGTCTGTTGTTAGTATCTCCTTCTTTGCTGCTGCTGCTGTTTTGTGGCTCATCAGATTCCCGGTCGGCGTGCTCTAACTCACCGCTGTTCACAGCCGCCGTGGTGTTGATGATCTTGGCGTTGGCCTCCTCTTTCACTCCTCCTGCATCCTTGCTCTTCTTCACAGGGCTGCTTGCCGTTGTTTTCTCCTCTTCCTGGTGATTGTGTGTGGCATCATCCTCTCCGTTGGAGCAGCCGTTCTCCCCGTTGGTAACCGGAGCTGGAGTTGGCGTCTTCTCCTCCACCTTTGCTTCTTCCTCTCCATTCTCGGTAACGGGCATCTTCTCCTCTGCAGGTATCTTCTCAGACTCCACTGCATTTTTTTCATTGGTCTCCCCTGCAGCAACTTCACCATCAGCAGCTCCTTCCGGCGCCACTTCTCCTCCCTCTCCCCCCTCCGCGGCCTCCTCCTCCTCCTCCTCCTCCTCCTCCTTGGTGCCTTCACCCATGTCCACACTCGTGGACTTGCCCTTTCGCAAGATGAAGTTCTTCAGGGAGACTGCTCGGCCGTAATGCGAGCGCTTGGCCTTGGCTGTCTTGGCGTCTTTGCCCTCCTCTGCTGCTCCGTCCTCACCTGCAGGGAGGAAGACAATCAAGGTTAAAACTTGTTTATACGATATTTATCGACTTTCTCTGAACAATAAACTTTTTAAGAGGAACTGCACTTCCTCCTGCAAATTAGTGAGTTTATAGTTCCAACTATATTTAGGTAGCTATTTAGTTACGTTGGCAGTAATGAAGATGGTTTGCATCTGATAAATGTGGGTCCAATTTGTACTCTACTCAGCCCAATTTAAGTCCCTATGTAGCAACCCTTTAGTAAATGATCTTGCTCTATAGCTGCTAGAGGCTCCACTTTTTTCCCAATACTAATTCCAATGCAACATCTAATTTAAAGCAATGTATTTGCTTCACATTTTTTTAAGGGAAGTCCGTTTAAACCAATATCCTCCAAAATGTGAATCATCTAAAACCAAAATACAGCTCAGGGTTCTATATTGTTGTACCATTTTCTCCATTCAGCAAGAAAGCAAAGAGCAAGCTAAATGTAGTCTTTTCCGTTGACTGGAGCTACATATGGCGCGTTTCCACTGCAGCGCGGAGCTCGCTTTAAGCGTGCCGAGCCGTGCGGGCCCGTTTTTGGTTGCGTTTCCACTTGGCCTAGTACCGGCTAGCGGGTTCTAATTCACAGTTTTTCTGGCCCCATAAAATCGTGGTTCTAGGGCCAGGAACAACCAGGCTGAGTCGGGCTGAGTATGCTAAACTAGAGAGAGAATCGCTGGCAAGGGGGCTACAACTACAACAAGATGAACATATTTGACCGTGATTTAATTGTAATACACGTTTCAAAATGATGCCGAAGTAACAACATACTGATACCGGTTAGTAAAAACCATGAATTAATGCTTTGACAACTCTGCGTGTTTTCTAAATGGAGATCGGCTAAGCTAACGCCGTGCTCCGACCGTCCACACTCACAACAACGGCCTATACAGACATAAATAAACCAGCGACTGTATTCGCCATGACACAGACAGTCTGTGGTTTGTACTTGTTTAATTTTTGTCTAGTTTCTGAACAGATATGAAGAGCTGTGAGCTTGAGTGCTAAGAGCTAACGGCTGTGTTGTTTTTCTGGGGTTGTCATTGAAGATGACGTCACGGCTCCGCCTACACTGCATTACTATAGTAACTACCCCAGTTCCTAAACTGTAATGGAAATGCACCATAAAGTGAGCCAGTCCTAACAAGGCCTAACGAGGCCTAGCCATACCGAGCGAGGCCGAGCGAGGCCGTGTAGTGGAAATGACAGAGGCCAATAGTGACTTGAATTTCACACCAGATGTTGAATATTTAATTTGGGAGAATGTTCAATTACATTACCTCCCCCAGAGTTAGCGAGCCACTCAGTCCTGCCCGTACAGCAGGGGTGGGGAACCTTTTTCCTCTCAAGGGCCATTTCAATGTTTTCAACATCCTCAGAGGGCCGTACAAATGATTGACCTCTGCTTAAAAATACTAAAATCACAGCCCACTCATTTCACCTTTCTTTCATGCTGTGCAAAGAAAAAGCAACCTCTTAATCCAGATATCTTGCCATGACTCACGCATGCACGTGCACGGTCATGGCATGACCACCAAAACAGAAAGATATGGACACAAGATGTGAGCAAATGTATTTAGACTCCTATCCATGTGAACATGATTTAAGTGGGGGGGACCTAACCTCCTCTAGGGGGGTCCGGGGGCATGCTCCCCCGGGAACATTTGTTTTTTTAAATGTTGAAGTTAAAAGCATCAATCTGGTGCACTTTGAGAGCAACATTAGGAGATCTATGGATACATCTCTCAACACCCAGATGAAACAGAACTGTAAGCAGATTTTCTTTTTCTTTATGGGTATTTTACAAATCACTCTCCTTTCAAACTGTATTCTTGTTTATTAATTAAAACTTTTTTTTACTGTCATATAGTATTTTATACCTGTTTACTTTATTCTCTTATTTGTTTTATAACTATAATGATCATATAAAGATGTGCCTTTACCTCACTGGTTGTAGAAAAAGCTTCTTATATTCGTTAGCATAGCTAGCTAACCAGATGCTAATAACAACAAAGTTATTGACTGTATGATCAGTATGACAGATCGCCACTGGGCTTACAACTAAAGACACAGCAACGCAAAAACTGCAGCATGTGTACGGCTCCTTATGGGTACTGCAATTTTTGGAAGTGCCGGAGCGGAGCGGCGTTCTGGTGCTCTCCGTCAGAACTACACCCCTGTCAGACGAGACATATACCACGTGATGACAAGTTAGGCTTGTGTTGTGTTCAAGGACCCTGACCTTGGCCAGGAAAAACAGGCACTCACTTGTTTAATTATTTTGCGGTCTAGATTTCTTTAATTTTTTTCTTTTTTGCGTGTGTTTATAAATTACCTCGAGGGCCACACCAAATGGTCTCGCGGGCCGTATACGGCCCTGGGGCCGGAGGTTCCCCACCCCTGCCATACAGGGACAGATATGTGAACACGCTGTCAGCTTCAGTGTTTTTTAATGGTGTTGACCAGAACAAACAGCTTACAGTTTTGGACTTTTGACCACGTAAGGATGGGTACTTGGATTGTTGGATGCCAAAATACCTATGCAGCAGTGGTTTCCAGCCTAGGCTCGGGCGCTTTCTAGTGTCACAAGATAAATCTTGAGGGGGTCTTGAGTAGACGAACGGTGTAGGAAAGAAGACAAATTAAAGCACTGCTACACTCCTCTGATCTGTGCATGTTTTGAGAAATATTGGACGCCTTAACCTTTTTGAGCTTCAAAATGATGTTCCAATGGAATCTCTTTCACACATGGTTCCCTGTAAATGTATGGGATAACCTTCAGGCACCACTTGTGATTGCTTCTATTCACGTATGCAGACATTCTTGCTTGAAGCTAGAAATTGAGGTTACAGATGTCCTTAAATATCAATGTATTAAACATAACCCATGCAGGAAATGCTCCCGGAAACTTCAGGTATAGACTGGTTGTGGGAAGGGACAATGGAGGGGATACCTCTTAGTTGAACAAACTCTAAGACATCTCAAATGTTACAAGTGGCCCTAACCAGATGCACATTTTTCGAAGGGTTCACATTATCTGCTTCCTCTCACCTGAGGCGGGGGCTGCAGCTGCCTCCTCCTCCCCACTGGGGACGCTCTCCGTGTTTGCACGTTTGGACTTGGGGATGACGCGCTTCTTGAAGGAGGTCCAGATCTCGTTGGCGTGTTGCGTCACCGTCCCTCCTCCTGACGTCGCTGCCTTCTCCTCCTCGCCTCCCTCAGCCTTCTCCTCCCCTTCCTCGGTCTTGGCCTCCTCTGCTCCTTCCTCCACCTTGGCCTCCTCTCCTCCCTCAGCTCCTTCGGTCGCCGCCTCCTCGTCCGTCTTGTCAGCAGAGTCTTTGTCGGAGCCTTTGGCCTTGCCGCTGATGCCAACGATAGACGGGTCCCTCTTCAGGCCCTGGAAGGTCCAGGAGCGTTTCAGCGTCCACCTCTTCTGCCCTGACTCCTTGGAGTCCAGCGTGGAGGAGTCTCCGCCTCCTTCCTCCTTCGCATCCTCCCCTCCTCCGCTCTTCTTGTGCGCCTTCTGGGCCATGAGTTTCTTGAAGGAGTGCCAGCGTTTCATGTGCTTGGTGGTTGCCGAGGAGGTCGGTGCTTTCTGCTCTCCCTCTGCGCCTCCCTCTGCGCCTCCCTCTGCGCCTCCCTCTGCTTCTCCCTCCGCTCCTCCCGCCGCTCCTCCCTCCTCTATGGTGGAATCTGTAGTGGCGTTAAGTGCTTCAGGATCTTCCATACGGTCCAGGGACTTGGATCGAACCGTCTTCTTGGGTTCCGCGCCCTCCTTCTTGTCGGTGCTGCGATGGGAGAAGATCCTGGCCACTGGCTTCCTGATCAGATCCCGGACCGTGGATTTAGACTCCGCCGGTTTCTTCTCCGCTTTCTTCTCCTCCTCTTTTTCTCCGTTTTCCGGAGCCTTCTCTGTTGCTGCATCTCCCTCTGCTCCTCCCTCAGCTGCTGCGGCCTCCTCGCCTCCTTTCTCGCCCTCTTTCTCCCCTCCTTCAGCTGCGTTCTCCTCTCCTCCAGTGGCTGTGCTTGGCTCTTTCTTCTTCCTTCCTCCCATCACCTTCCCCAAGCCGCTCTTGTTTAGGAAGGAGTCCAGGAAAGAGGTCTTGGGCTCGGCAGTTGAGGCACCTTCCGAACTCTGGGTGGGTGCCGCATCCTCGCTGGCTGCTGCTTCTCCCTCCTCGGCTCCTGTCACTGCCGCTGTGTCGTTATTCACTGTTTCTTTGTTGTCGACAACCTCGCTGTTGACTGCGGTGCCATCTTTACAGACAACTTCACTGTTGACAGTCTCTGAGTTTGCGTTGGCGTTGTTTGCCGGTTGCTCCGCTTCTGTCGGCTTGCTCTCTGGGGTTTTCCCGTCCTCCTGGACCACCGGCGCAGCGCTGGCCTCAGTCGCCGCCATTTCGGAAAGGGACAACAAATGATAACAAAACTAAAAGTGTGTTCCTTCCTTCCTTTCCTGGCCTTCTGCCCTCCTCTTCCTCTCTCTCTGGTGTTTCGTTCCTCCCGATGTGATGGCGCTCTCAGGTCATGAAGAGCAGGTCGGACAACAGTGTTGAGGAGGAAGGCTACTCAGCATCCTACTAGTCCTCTAAACTCCTGCAGAGAGAAACAGAAACAGGGAGAGAAAGAGGAAGAGGGAGGAGAAGAGGGGCAGAGAGAGGAAAATAGCAGATGGTTAATAGTTGGAATCAACACTGACACTCAATTAGTCTGGTCTAGACTGTGCATTGAATGTGAAATGAAGTGTAACAAAATAGAGAATCTCCATGGGAAATGCAATGCAATTATGATGTCTCCTAATCTGTCACACTTCCAAAATGCACACCCTGTGTGTTCGGATGTGCGACACACACTCCTTTTTTTCTGATTAATTAAATGGCTGCAGGGGTTTTGGGAGATGCAAAACCTGCACCAGACAGCAGAAACAGCCCTGATCTGGTGACGGTCCCAATGTTCAAAATCGTGTTCTGTTTGTCTCATTCAGCTCAAACGCGTTATTTAGGAAACCGTTTTACTTATAAGCATTGCATGGTCATACAGTGGACTTTTTTCTGAAACAAATTTTAAATACAATATCCTGGCTTTAAGTCCCTATAGGGTCCAGCTCCTAACATATTTGATCCCAGGTTTCCCATAAAAACTAGCACCTTTCCTTTGACTCTTCATACTAACATCTACTACATTTCCCACTTTTGAGAAAGACCCCCAGAAGCCACCGATTTGAGTTTGTTTCTTCATAATGAAATGCACCTAATGTAAGTTGCTTTGGATAAAAGCGTCAGCAAAATTAAATGTGATGTGTTGTTAGCGGTGTATGTGCGTGTTATTGAAAGTGAACTTCAGTGTGTGTGTTCATGGTGAAGAAGGATAAATTCATTGGCGTCTTTTTTGTCTTGTCGTTGAATTAGTTGAATACATATTGAATCTAACTTCCCCTTTAAACAGTCCCGCCTGGTTGTAACATCTTTAGAGAATTTAATGAATGAATCTCGAGATCAATGAATCTATGAGTCACACGCTGATGTGGAGTAACCGGCTGTTCTGCTGTGAGAAGAGTCCAGACGTTAAGCAAAACACATTCACACTCTCTCAGAGGAGAAGGTGAGTCAGACTGAAGAGAGGCAGAGAAATGCAGACAGAAAGGCACTCAGGTGGAGAAAAAAATCACACAGGGGGGGGGGTCGGAGGAGGGAGCAAAACACAGCCAGGCAGACAGGCAGGTGAGGTGTAAACACATACATCACATGCTCCAGATAATCTCACTGTGATGTTGCCATAACTGACTGTCCGACCAACTGGATGGCTTACTGGTTGACTGGCTGCCATATTGGCCTGCTGGCTACACTGCGGCGCTCAAAACGGTTAAAAATCGGTCAACTTTTGCCGCAAAACAATAAAATGTCATCCAGAGCCGCATTGGCCAACAAAATACACACAGTCACACACTCAACAGAATGTTGTTTTTCTGCAGATTTCGAGCTAGGGGATAGAATGAGCATTACCAAACATCGCTGTAGAGTTGCACAACCCTATATTGTGGTTGAATATGAACCAATAAGATGTGTCTGATGGACCTCGTAAGTTATACATCTATTACTTTTTTTGTTGTTTTTTATTCTCTGTCAAAGCGTCTTTGAGTTTTTAGAAAAGGGCTATACAAGGCTCATGTACTATTATTATTATTATTATTATTAAACCAGACTTCCTTAAAAACACATCTTTGTACCTGAAACTACAAATGTTCACCATCATGCATCATTGCTGGTATTTATCTTGATAGTCTTCTGGAAGGTTGTTTATAACACTCTTTAAAGACTCAACTGTGAGGCTCATTGTTCAACTTGTTGATGTTGTTTAGATCCAAGTCCATTACCAGGTTAAAACGGGTCAGTTTAGCCAAATCCCGCCAAAGGTCGCCAACACAGCGGTCTTGCAAGGATACGTGACCTGACCTGACGGGCTCTCAAACTACAGTATCCTGTTACATGAGTGGCCTCCTTCTCTCTTGTTTACTATTCTGAGTTGTTAGCCTGTTAGCTCTAATGTACACAAGTCATTAACTCTGCTTTCTAGTAGCCTAAAGATAGAAAAGAACACTTCTACCCTGCCAACAGACAGTATTAGAATCCAAGTATAATTCAACAGCTGTATCAAACGCCTCACTGGCATTGTCGCTAAGGCTAGCTAGCCAACAACAATAACACGATAAACAGCTTTTTGATTTTTTTTTAGCTGGAACTGATTGATTTATCTCTCAGAGTTAATTGGAATTTAGCAGGGAGTCATTTATCCTCAATCCATCATATCCTAAAGGCCACAGTATGAGCTCACGCTGGCGATTTTGGCTCTTTAGTTTTTGTTTGCATACGATAAACAAAGCAGCTGAATTTGGACAGAGATTATGAAGCCCTTCATCTTCTATTCCGCTAATCAATTATTCAGCTTTTGCTGGCTATTATTGTCAAAATGTTGCACATGCTGCAGCGGATTTTGCTCTATTTCTTTTTTTTTGAAGAATCTATTTGCGATGAGGATCACATTCATCTTGATAAACGACTGTATTGAAGGTTCAATCGTGTTTTTTGAGTCAATACAGCTCACAGTAGATCTTCAAAGAACCAACAGAATGCCTTGCCAGTAACATTGTCCAATAGTGGGTGCCAAATAAACGTTTAATGTGTTTCGCCCTCATCATCATCATCATCATCATCATCATCATCATCATCATCATCATCATCATCATCATCATCATCATCATCATCATCGTAACTGTGGATTCACTAGATTCATAAGTTTTTGATTTAAGGATGACTCAAACGGCGATACACTGAGGAATAAAAATCCCTCACACTGCGTCTTTAAACAGACTTAAAGTCTTATTAATGTGAGTTTCTGCTGGATTCTCCCCAGCTGTTTGAGTCACGTTCAGCCACACGAGACCCAGCCCCACCATGGGCGTCTTTGTTTCGGTTTCCTTTTTTTTCCAGTTGATTTTTTTTTCTTTTTTCTTGGTTGTTGGTGATTGCGCTGCTGCAGCAGAGGAGCATTGGCGGAGTGTTGGATGGTGGATGAGAGTCTGAAGCCTGAGGTGTTGGAACAGCATCAGACAGAGGAGGACGACAAAATGGAGGGAGGGATGGGAGGAAGAAGAGGAGGAGGGGGTGCAGGCAGGGTGGGAGGAAGAAGAGGAGTGGTGCCGACATGAGCTGATTACAAATCGTCTTTCAGTTTGTCTGTGCCTTTCATTCATCACCTTCGTCTTTCTATGTTTGTCTTTTCTGTCTCTTTTTAGTTGTGTCCCTTTCGGATAACTATATCTCTGTTTCGTTTTTACCGACAATCACTGTCTCTCCTTCCATCTGTCTCTTTGCCTTTTTTACTTTCTGTTAATGCTTCAGTCTCTCTTCATTCTTCACCTTACTGGCTTCTTTCGGTCTCGCTTATCGTAGTCTTTATCCGTCTCTTCTGTTTTGCATTTTTTTCTCTCATTTACCTCCATCTGTCTATCCGTATCACTCTTGTACATTTTCCCCAGTCAGGCTTTATCTCTTGTTCAGGCATTTCTGACAATTCAACTTTTTATATAATTATAGCACAAAGCAAAGACAATGCTAAGGTTCCCGTAACCTCATTACAAAGTCACATTTAACTAAGAGAATCAAGGACAATGTTTGACATTGATGTCAAACAACATGGGTTCTGCAGTTTTAACACTTAAAAGCCACCTGTAGACATTGAACTGTGTTTGAGAAATAAGATTGTACATGTTAAATCCTGTAATCACTTGTTACAGTAAAGTAGCCAGATTTAGGTTAACCTGTTGTTCATATATTAAATTACAATGGGACAGGAAGCAGCGGGATGCCAGTCACTTTATGAGTTTTGTGGTCATTACATGTACAATACAGATTGAGTTACTGTCTCTCTTGTGTGACTAATAAAGCCACAAGCTGATTTATATTTCCATTTCTGGACAGAGACACAATTATCAACTCTGTCGCCTGGAAACTAAGTGTATCTACTAATTTGAACAGCAATTAATGTCTTGAGTAAAATGGATTCAAATGTTTTATATAATGAGGAAACATTTTTCATAATACAAAGCCACAAAATGCCCACTAACAATAGGCTTCATTTATTTTCCGCCACAGGTGTCAAACTCCTGAGCTCTATGGGCCCACACACCCTGACCAGGAACCCATAACACACCACGTAGTTAATATAAAAATTACAACTGTTTTCCATTGCAAATGTTTTATTGAAGATTTTGGAAAATCCAATGTCCAATCCATTGATTATTATGTATTTTAGTATTTGCCTGAATTCCATTAGAGTTACAGAAAAAAAGAATATCACATTATCGATTCATCAAAAATTAAAATGATTAGCCTAGATTTCATTTTTTCTAAAATATACATTATTTTTGGGAAATTCACCATTATGCCTTCCATCTGTTAAAAGACATGGGTGTAAAAGGAATACTGCTTAAAAAATCACCACATCCTAAGCATTTGCTAAACATCTGTGCTTGAGTTCCAATACAATAAAACATTCTATTTACATTTATTTTCTGTTGTCTTAGTTTGCATATTTGGTATTGAAGAGTTAGCAATATTTAACTTTTGCTTACAGGGTGCACAGAAACATTTGGAAATTGTCTGAAGGTGGCGAAAGACTCAAAATTAAAGCAGTTCCCAGCTTTGGCTGTAGGTGGGGACATTGACGTGTAACTGCAGCTGTGACACTGACTTCCTGTAGTTTTCGCTGCAGATGTTGAGACTGAACAGCTGTCTCTAGGGGAAAATGTAAAGCCTGGTAAGGCCACCTGTGCATAACCTCTGAATCAGGACCAATCGTCCCTCTACAATGTAAATATTCCACTACAATGAACATGTCTTCACGGATTTACTCTGTTGATATGAAAAGGCTTCTGGAAGCAAACAGCTCCTGCTGCAGATAACTTTAATGCAGTCATTCTGAGCTTCCTGGGTGCATTCCCAGCTGCATGTGTTTTTTACTCTCTGATGACAATCTAATACCCCGGTTAATGCAGCTTTAATGGGGGTCAACGGTGAGGTGGCAGAGTGGCCAATCACTGTTTCCCTCTTCACACTGTGATAAT